ACAAAGATAGAATGGAGTAGATGTATGCTCATGTTATGGTGTACAGGGTTAAAATGCTGGTATGGTGAAACTAAAGCTGGTGATCTATACATTCAGTATGGTAAATTTTTTAACTTGATGCACGAATAAAGAAAAAATTCGAGTTTGTTATGAAGCTATTGATGGCCCAATTCACCCGAGTGAGCTCTCTGAGGTCAATTGTGTTCTAGGTCTGAAAGTATTTTAACATTGTTCATTTGACAGCTTGGAGCGATTGTATAGCCTGGAGTTGTTGCAGCGCCTCGCGTGGTTTCACAACCTAGGGTGGTTGCTCTGCCTGGGGTTGACTTCTAGCGACCCAATTACTCGGCTACATGAATCCATACATTCACTACATGAATCAGAAGTTACATCTGAAGACCTTTGTAGTGTAATTAGGGCATGCTTTAGAAGTTTTCTGTTCGTAAACTCTTGTAGTGGAGGGGAAAGGAATAGGAACCATGGGAGAGGAGTGGTTAAAGAGGACAATAAGATAAGAGAGGAGAGGGTGAAAAGTGCGAACTGAAAGAGGGTTGAAGAAGGGGGGCGGGAGAAGTGTCAAGGATACGAGAAGTCACGGATATTGAAGCCTGGTGAGAAGCAAGAGATTTTTTCCCCCTTTTCCCTCCCTACCCATCTCTTTCCCAACTAAGGTAAACCTGTGCCTCCAGGATGTGTATGTTTATAAAATAAGCTGAATCACTGCTGCATTTTGATTGGCTCATTCATAGATGATGTGACTTTTAACAGTTTTTTGCTTCTCTCTTATATATAACAAATCAGGAGCCCATTAATGAGCTCCTGGTAAATATGGGTAGACAGATGACATCACAATGTAGCTGCGCCTCGTGTGTCACTTTTTGGATCTTACCATGTTATGACGTCATCTACTATCTCTTACTAAGCAGAGATATAGCAGCTAATAATCTGCACGTTTACGATACACCACAAACGAACCCAACAGAACGATATAGCATTACCCTCTTACTAATATTTCCGCATGCTAGAGCCCTCTAGGAACAAGTCTTCAAAATAAAATCAGAGTGATCAGGATCAGAATAATATTTATGAGAGGCTGTAAGTTTGGTTCAGAGAATCGTAACAGTTCAACGTTGACAGGTTAAATTACTTCCCCGTAAAAATTGACGTTAAGAATACTTACTCAAGTTTAAGACTCCCCCGTAAAATTCACGTTAAGAATACTTATTTAAGTTTAAGACAGGAAAATTGTGATAGGAAGCTGAACAGCCGCTTTTTGTTTATCATTTAAACAACAGCCCTTGGTACGGCAAAAAAAAAACATATCTTTGTGAAAGTTCTTCCCTTCCCCCATCCTCCCTGTGGGCCAAAACTGTACTCAAATACTCTACTCGACTGCTGGATTAAATGATCAGTTTTTTCTTAAAGATCAGCGACCGCAACTTTCTTTTCATTCACTATTTGAGCTTTAAAAACCTAGACCTTGTAGACCTTTTCTTGTGAGCCATTCGCTTGCAAAAGTGAATTAACTCTGTACCAGTCCGGGCCATAACCATTTCTGGATACTTGAGGACGTCACCAACATGGATGTCGTAGTGGGACATCGAGGAAACTCAATCATTATTTTATTCGAGCCCTAGCGACTTAGTTCCCTACCCATATCCCATGAAACCTTGCAAAATTACAGAAGACAAGCAATTACACACAACAAGCAAAGAACTGATGGTGATCGCGATGACGTGAAGGAAAAATTCAGATGAAAAGTCGGGTGGAGGTCCATGTTGCGAAGGGCTCGATCGAGGAATAACCTCTATTTAGTTGAGGTTTTCAGGTATGCAACATTTTTTTTGATTCCTAAAAAAAATCTTTTAAAAAACTAGAATAAATTTGCTTCCAATTTGTCAAAATTCCAATCGAGTGCACGAGGTTTTTGCTCGAGTGCACAAATGTTGAAAGTCTGTTAGTGTGCAAACTACCAGACGGATTCCTTTGTTCAGATCCATCGGAGTATCGTGTAAACCATAAATTTTAACCATACGTTGTGTCCGGCCAATTTAAAGTAAAAGGACAATTATTTATCGGACCTTTGTAAGCCTACATTGTGAATTTCAGATCAAGCCAACAGCATGGATGAACACTTTCAGTATCTCGAGACACTTTGTCGTCTTTGTGGCACAAATCTGCCACGGACCTGGGTCAGTGCTATAAACAAAGAATATTTTAAATCGGAGCTCTGGATGAAATTTCAAATCAATGTCGATCTTGACATCAGAGAGATTCATTCAGCCAAGGCGAATGCACA